GTTTTGGAAAAAACGGCCTAACAGTAGGCCTTACATCAAACCATATGAGGGAAAAATGATTGACAGTTTAGAAGACTACCTAGCATACTGAAAAATAGGAATATTATATAGACAAGCTTTTCATTCAAGCGCAGATGCTAAAGGCTATTCCTAAGTCAAAAGAAAAGATGTGCTAGTCATCTTTTAACGGCAGCGGCGGATGTTTCGCGGGCGAATCCTAAGGTCGGCCAGTTGACGTTCCACGTCGAGGAGGTGTTGCTCGTAGACTCTTTGGCGAACTCGGAGCTCTATGACTTTGGCCCGAGTATCGGCTAATGCTCAAAGAAAAGCCTCGTGATCTGCTGCGGACCTCTCCCTAACATGCTCCAGGCGGCTGGTGCGAAGGGAGTACAGTCCCCCAGTTGTATCAACCTCCGCGATACGCTGGAGAGCTGTCCTGCCTTGGATTTCATTGCGGGCAACCCTTCGGACCAGGATGGGCAAGACTCTGTCTGCTGAACCTCCTTCGCTTGTATCATAGAATCTTCGGTCTCCATTGAATGGCATGGGTTGATTTTGCTCTTCACGCCATGTCTCTATGCATTCCACCCATGCAGGAGTCGGGCCTTGGAAGACCTGGCGGGGGTTAGGGTTTGGGACCAGAGCCACAGGAGGTAGGTTGTTGACTTCGGGTTTGGAGTTGGACCCATCCGAGAAGCCTTCTGCTTGGTGGTCATCCAAAGGGATTTGATGTTCCTCATCAAGCTCTTCTTCAAGCCATCCCGCATTATCGGGGTTCGGATTGTACGGATTGCCGGGAAGGTGAAAACCAGCCATGTTATCACCACGAGAAAAGGGGGAAAGAATAGTTAATAGACGTACTAATATAAGATTACTTATAAGAGGATTATTATTAGTTAGACCAATACTCTAAATCCACAACCAAGATAGACCTTCGAATGAGCGACCCAAACTCTAAATCCACAACCAAACAAGGAACAGGAAGTAAAGCAAAGGTCACAAATTCTAAGTCTATGACGTCTTAGTTACATATAATCGTAGCGTATCCACTTAGCAACTATTGCTCTCCTTAATAATGACGCTTTTAGTTCTCACATATGTAAATTATAGAGATACAGAATACTCCTATAGTATTCTTGTGTTAGAGTTCTTGTGGTAGTGTTGGTAAGTTTTAGACTTGTTGCAGCACCACAACCACTCTTAGGCACATGCTAGTCACTCCTAGAAAGATGTAGTTGATCAGGCTACATCCACCCATATGTGACCATATGTCTCTAAGCATAACTGTGCTGCTCAACAATCTTAATACTTTTGTTCTGTTCTAGTATGATACTGACCCTTTGTATTTGTGGATGTATATATATATATATATATACTTAGTTAAATATTTTATTATTTAAAAGTATATATATTCTTGGTCAGAGTGTTTTAGTCCCAAAGTGTTTATAGTTCGTATATCTTTTATGGGTTGATATACTTGATTCACTATAAACGATGCTCTGATACCAATCTGTCACACCCCAAAACCGAGAACGGCGGAATACGTTCTGGGGTGGAGGACGTCATGTTCAGTATCATAACAATGCATAATAGTAAAAGCAAGCAACAACATCCATTTCATTAATATAATAATTGTAATACAAACGTGTTCTGTACAGTTTGATAGACACCAAAAGTATAATCAAAATATATAAAGAGGAGTCTTATATGTGCTCCGTCTTCTCAAAAGTCGCATCTGTACCTGACTATTTCCGACCTGAGAATACAAGTTATTTTGAAAACGAGTATCAGCATAAAGCTGGTGAGTTCATAAGAATTTAGTGTCATTTCTTGTATAAAAGTGTTTCAATTTGTGTAACATGAAAGTTGTTATCAAGTTTGAAAATAGAGTGAATCTCTAGAAAATCCTGTATTTTCTAAATAAGGTAGTCTTCTGCAAAGACTTGGTTACTTGTAGGTTTGATCCATTGAGTTTGTAAAAGTTTTCTCAACTAGACTCTCATTTATAAAAATATAGTTTGGACTTCATTTAGACAAAGTAAATGGGAAAATAATGTATTATTCCAGCAATGTTACTGCCGACTGGATGGTAAATAACCGCAAACTCTAGGTGGTAATATGTATTTAATACACCTCGAGGAGTCTACTTTACCTTTTATTCGTAATTTATTATTTCAGGGTTCCGAATGTGAATCTATATGTAACCATGCGGATAGGCGACTGAATGTATCATGACCCTCCAGGTCATATGTAGTGTAGTAGTATGTTATCATCCCTGGGCCGAATCGGCATGTACTGTAGCTAGTAGTCGGGATGTGAGAATGTCCGCCCTGTATAGATCTATACATGTAGAGTCCACTCTCCCTCCAGGAGACTAAGGTTACACGGTGAAGGCGTAGTAAAGTGCCATATAGAGAGATAGTGTCTCGCATTCTGTTTTAGTACGTTCCCTTATATTAGTGTATGGTGTGCTTCTCGATATAATGTATTTAGTGCTCTCTTGTATTGTATATAGTATTCTTCTTGTATAGTTATTAACATGTAGAGACTCATAATAGTACTAACCGTGGTAAGTATCACAGCAATAGTAGTGAGGAATGGTAAAGCTGAACTATACCTATTATAGTTAACCAGCATGTTGCAGTCATTCTTGGATACTCCAAAGTATTGAACTGAGTGAAGGTTTTCATATCCAACACAAATACATACAATACATAACTAAGAATTCAACGACAGTCGGACAGATAACAATATACCCTAAGACCCCAATCAAACAAGAATAGGTAATAAGGCGAGCTATCAGTCCTAAGTCCTTCAAGTCTTATTTATATAAATATATTGGTGTGGATATATTTTTGAAACATAAGAAATTTTAAAAGAGTTTGAAAATAGTTTTTATAAGAAATTAACATGAAAATGAGTTTGAAAATATTGAAAGCAGTTTTGATGGAAAATACGGTTAAAAGTATATATATCCTTAATGATTGTAAGTTACAAATCACATGGGATTGCTACTATAAATTGTTGGGTTCAACTTGTATTCCCTCCCCCCCATAAAAGCATTTAAAAAATTTAAAAGGTTGATTAAGGGGTATGAACTCACTGTTTAAAGTAGGGTTCGAGTGTGCAATTCGTATGAGTGTCGAGTGTCAACAGATGCTCTGAACGCAAGTAGCCCCTATTAATCATATGATAACATATATGTAAGTTAGAGCTAAGGTGTTTCATGACTAAACATGATAGGAAATCCCTCCTAAGGGCTTGGAATCACTAAGAATAAGTGTCCCATATTCTATACCCAATGATCTATGCTAGTTTAAAGCCAAACATGGGTATTAGGGTTTGTGTATGGCCATAAAGGTGAGTGTGCGGCTGGGGAATGCGGCCAGACTGGTGTATGAGGCTACACACTAGAGTGTGCGGCCGTACAGGGAGTGTGTGCGGCCGTACACTCCTTGTTTGAGTCCTATGTGTCGATTGTGTGGCTTTACTCTCACTTTGGAGGGTGTTTTGAGTGTGTGCGGCCACCTGATGAGGGTGTGCGGCCACACTCCTTCATGGGATGAAGAACACGAAGAACATTACATGTTTGGGGCTTGGACTCAAGTGTTTTACCTCTATGACAAGCTGAATGATGATGTTCTTCACGTTTTGGAGGCCTTATAAGTGTTCTTGGGTGGTTTTCTAGAGAGAGAAATGATGCAGCAAAAAGTGAATGGAAATGGGTCCTCCACTTTATATAGGGTTTGAGTGTGAGGCTGGAGGGGTTTGCTGCTGGGTGTGCGGCTGGCTGGCCGCACACACTAGTGTGCGGACGCACACACCTCTCTTGGTGTGTTTGGTTAGATTTTATGATGCAACACCCTTCCTAATGTCCATATCTATGATATATTGAGCCTAAGGCACTCGTGCGGACCCAACCTTCTATTAAAAGGTGCTAAAATTCGTGTGAATTATAGATATATGGATCGATTTTGCAGTGTAAAAGTCTCGGGTTTTCACAGTAGTTGGGTTGGAGCAGTTCGTGGGGCATATCCAGTCGAAAAAGTATTAGTTCAGCATACGTGTCAGGTGAGTATTCTCACCATACCTATAGGTCTAAGACACCAAGTCCGGCCCATTATGTGATTACAATAGATATGATAGATACTCTGTGTTGCTTTGCTATGTGATTGCATGTCTAATGAAGACCCCAGGGGGAGCCCGTGGCATTGGATGTAAGACCATGTGGAGTAGCCCATGGCATCCTAGGTGAAGACCATGTGGGGTAGCCCATGGCACTGGATGTAAGACCATGTGGGGTAGCCCATGGCAGTCTTAGGTAAAGACCATGTGGGGTAGCCCATGGTACTATTACAGGTTGAATGTATGCATGGTTTATGTGTGATGTGGGTAGCCCTATGGCTATCAGGATATGTGATTGTGTGGTATGCTCTGGGAAACTCACTAAGCGTTTCGCTTACAGGTTGTTGATTGTTGCAGGTACTTCGGAGCCTAAGGGCAAAGGCAAGGCATGATGGCATGGCGTGTACTCTATCTCTCTTTTGGAAGTCTTGGGGACTCTCTGATGATTTCATAAAATACAACAATGATGTAATGAATGTGATTTGGAAACAAATGTTTTGAAAACTTATGGAATATGTATTCGGATTACTTATTAAAACGAAAAATTTCCTTGTAAAATTTGGGATGTTACATGGTTGCATAGCCCTTTTATTTTATGATCTTTATTTGTAAAATCCAACAGTGACATAATTGTAAATACATTGTTAAGTATTCAAATTAACGTCGTTAGTAACCATTTTAGGGTTAGTATTATAATTTTACAAACAATCAATTTTGTAGAGGCTACAATATTGTAACTGCATATACTCTTCTTTTCTTTCTCGATTAAAATCTCACTTAGAAACTCTCACGAAAACCCTCTTTTTCTTTCTTTTTCGCATTGCGCCCTAGTTTTTGTTTGTTATTTATGCAAATTACGTTTGAAAAATTAGTAAATGTCTTCAGGAGAAAATCTAAACGAAGTCACATCTTCATTTATCAAAATGAAAGGTTTGAATATGATTAATTTTTCATTTTATTGATAATGCATGTTTTTTTTAATTAGTTAAATGTAGTTTTATGATGATAATGTTGATTTTTTTTATTAGTAGTTTTTTCGTCATTTTTACTTGATGTTGATGATTTTTCCATTTACAATTCATCTAAGTAGTTGTTTGTGGTGGTTTTTGATCTAAGTAGTTTATATTTTCACAGATAAGGATTTCAAAACAAACTATGTTCGAAAAAATTTCAAAAAACAAAAAAAAAAATCTCGAAGGGAGTAGAAGTGGTGTTATTTCCAAATGTACAATTCAAAAAATCGATGTTCAAAGAGGTTTCTATAATGTTTTTTTGTCGCATTTTCTTCTATTATTTTTTTATTCATAATTGATTATCATATTTTTTGATTTTGTATTTCTATGTATCCTACGTGGATATGAAGATGTTTCTGGTGAAGTTAAAGAGAAAAATTCAAAGAAAAGAAATGTTAAAGGTATGTGTTGTAATTATAATTGATTTTCTGATTTTTTTTCAATGAGTGATATTTTATAGTTTTAGTTATATGTTTATTTTTAGTTCTAATCATAAATGATTTCATACATTTGTTTATGTAGGAAACCAATCTAAATCTGAAGATGTTCTCCCCAATCAAAAGAGAAAAGGTCAAAAAATAGTAATGATAAATGTATGTTTTTATAATCATTAGTGATTGTGTGAGTTAAAATCATAGTTTATAAGTCATATGCAATTTTGTTCTTTATTAATAACTAATTATGTTGATTTTTTGTAGTAAATGCTTCTGTTAATGAAAAGGAAAGTGAAGTTGTTTTAGAGAAAAAGTCCAAGGTTAAAAATGATAAAGATATGTTTTTGCAATCATAAGTGATTATGTTCCTTCATTTGTAATTGACTATATGTATTTTTTTTCTTTTTTACTAACACTATTTTTTAAATAAAAATTTTAGTTAAAAAAGGTAATTGTACAAAGAATGTATCAATAGAAAGCTCAAGGCAGACACGATCATGTTCTAAAAAAGAAAAGGCCAAGGAAGTGGAGCAAACACGATCAAAACCGTAAGTAAGAAACGTGAACTATCTGATGAAGATGATTATGATTTTCAGAGTCATCCTGGATCTTCAAAGAAACCAAAGAGAGAAGCTAAAGTTGTGAAGAAAGAGAAAAGAGTTGTTGTTATTAAAGAATTCCCTTCATTGAAGTACAGATGCTCACCCGGGTCATTGTTGGGTGTTATTTAAGGTTTAAGTAGAGAACAGAAGGAATGTGTTAGGGCTATGGGATTTGGGAGTTTGTTATGGATGAAGATGATTGACGTACCGTAAAAGATTGTTTATTATGTTCTTGATCATTTTAATTTTGAATCTTTGAAGGTGGAGTTTGAGAATTGTGAAGTTAGTGTTGATAGTAAATATGTTCATGAGATGTTAGGATTACCATCTGGTGGTTCATTACTATCAAACATGGATTACATTTCCAAGAATGATGAAGAGAGTTGTATGTTTGAGTGGAAGAAACAATATGAAAATATTGATAAATTAAATTGAAACGGCTAAAGAATGAACTTGTTCGAACTAGTGCAGCGGATGATAACTTTAGAATCAATTATTTGGTTCTATTTATTAATACATTATTTGAGTCTACAAGCATGGGTAAATGTAATCTGAATCCATTGTATTTAATCAGAAGATATACTGATTTAAGTAGCATTAACTGGTGTGATTTCATTGTCGATTGTTTAGTAAGGACGACGAAGGTTTACAACCCAGAGAAAAAATCATCTTTCTTTTATGGACCAGCAGCATACCTTATGGTACACAAACTAATTTTTAATATTAAATCTTTTTTTAGTTGTAATAATATGTTTGTTTTTATTTTTAAGCATATATGATTAATTATATATTACACAACATAATCATATATTATTATCCATATATATTATGATTAATCATATATTTGATTTGTATAAATTATATATGATTGTATAATCATATATGATTATATAGTCTAACTTTTGTTTAATTATATATTACACATCATAATCATATATATTATGATTAATTATATATTTGATTTGTATATATACATATGAATAATCATATATGATTATGCAGTGTAATATAATTAATCACATGAATAATCATTCATGATTATGTTGTATAAGTATATCTTTTTAGAAAGTTAACTTATTTGATATATATGTTTTTTGTAGTTGTTGTAAGTGGATAGTTTCAAGTTTGATCATTTGTAAGTCACACGTAAACGTCCAACTATTTTTTATTGGACGTCAGAGAAGATAAGGTTTCTTGAAGATATTTTACAAGAGGATGGAGGATTTGGATGTGGATATGTTAATGAACCATATGTTGAAGAAGAATTTCAAGAATATGAGTATAATAAGGAGGAACCTGGTGGTGATGAGGATGAAGAAGAGTTTGATATTAATAAAGATAGTATCGTGGAGGTAATTTTATAGTTTTATTCATTTATGATTTCATTAGTGTATTCATTTATGACTGTTTATGATTAAGTATTTATTTTTAAGTATCTTTTTTTATGTAGGTGTATGAAACTAAAATTTCATATATGTATCAGAAGATGGTGGATTTGAAAAATGATCTTATTGTAAAGATAAATGAGGGAGTGTTGAAGTTTCCTCAAAGTCAAAATTTGAAAAATTGGAAATTATTATTCATGTTGAAGATTTAAGCATAGAAAGTTTTGATTTCCATTATGTTTCACAACAAATTAAAGAACCAATAGTGACACCTGCTTTTGGTCAAGTTAACGAGGATGAAGAAACCACAAAAGTAAATGATGATGAAGATTATGGAAATGATTTTCTGAACATGAAAATGTTGAAGATAATGATCAAGGGAAATGTGGTGGTGCTTAGGGGAACGGAAATCGTGCACATGAGGACCATATTGGTAAAAATGATGCATAAGGTAAAGTTGATGGTGCTGAAGATGATGTTAATGATCATGTATATGAGGACCATATTGGTAAAAATAATGATTTGTTGAATGAGAAAGATGATTATAAAAGTGATGATGTTATGATGGGAAATTTGGGTAATGAAGATGACGGACAAGAAAATGGAAGTGGATGCAATGAAGAATGGGCCATGAATTTAAACTCTATTGTCAAAAATGTTACTAAGAGCGTTGGTCTAATTGATAGCCAGGAAGTTGTATCTTTTAGTCAATTCATGTGCAATCCAATTGTTGAAAGTTTTCTTAAAAGTTTGGATTGAGGTAAGCATATGTTTTTGTTTTATATAGTTTAGTCATATATGGTTTTAATTTTTTATATTTGAATTTTATAGGCACTGAAAACTTGGTTGATGGTAGTATAAGCCAAAAACCAGTTGAAGATGATGTCAATGACAATTTGACTGGTTTTGAGAAAAATAAATCTTATGTTGGTAAGTATTTATTTATGTATTTTTTATACATAAACATATATGAATATGTTATATAGATGATTCACTTATGATTCTAATAATTTAGGGAATGTAAATTTGGGTGAGGATGATCATAACAAAGAAGTAATTTCAGATCGTATTGTTGATAAAGTTATTGTAGAAAAGAAGAAAGAAGATGCATTAATTGATCCAAGTTTATTGAAAGCTTTTGCTGAAGTGTTAGTTGAAATTTCTAAAGCAAAGAAGGATGGAGAAGGTGTGGTAGAAGGTGAAGGTTTGAGGTTGATTCGGATTTAGGGAAAGCAATAGAAGATTATTGTGTTTATAATTTTTGTTTATTCATATATGATTTTTATAATTTTTTTAGGTAGAAACTGCTAAAAGAAGGTTTACAAATTATACAATGGAAGGATTCAAATGAGACTCAATCATTGAAAAGGGACAAAGCAGAATGGAAAGTTGAGAAGTTTTCTCGTCCAAGCTTTAGCCTTGGATTTAGTCAAGATTCTCAAGGTTCCAAGAAGGCATCTCAAAGTCAATGTTCTCTTGAACGGATGAAAAAGAAAAAGATTAGGGATGGAGTTTATTTGGGAAAACCAAGTGCTGGGCCACAGTTTGTTGTCCCAAATGTTGATGTTTTTGATGCTAGTCCAGTTTATTTTGTTTCCCCTTTGGGTACATTAGAAGTACCATCTAAACCAATTTCTGACCAAGCTAGAGAGATAAATGAAAAAATTTCATCAAAAGCAAAGTCTAGCAAACCTAAACATATAAATGAAGAAGGAACATCAGAAGTAGATGTCAAAGGAAAGAGAGAAATGAAGTTTTCTTATGTTTATAAGTCACATTTTAAGGAAAGGTTAATTGATTTTAAACCAATTTTGACACAAGTAGAAAATTTTGTTTGTCAATGGCTTTTTAGTCTTCAAGGAAATCCAGGGTAATTTTTTTAAATATAATTTTTTATTTTTATAATTATAATTTTTTTAATAACATTTAAATAAATATGTACGGGGATATGGTCTTGCTTATGGAATCAGATCTTATGGGTTTTAGAGCTAATTATGAAAGTCTTTCTAAAAAATCCTATTTGCATGTAAGTGTTCTTGATTCATGGTCTCGTATAATAAATCATGAAAAGATATTCAAAGATGTTAATTCCTCACTCAGATTGTTCATGAATGTTAATAATGTAAGATTTTATTTTATGTTTTTCTTTTCATATTTTGATAATCATTAATAATTTTTTTATATTAAATATTTACATTTTATTATATAATCACTTCTGATTTTTTTATATTACAGACTTTGACACTTGAATATAATCATGTGAAGGAAATCGGAAAATATTAAGTTTTCAAGGACAACTTCTCTATCAGTGTTTCTGGTGATAGAGACTTGAAGGTTTTGAAGGATGTTGATATGGTATATTTAGTTTGTTTATATATATATATTATATATATATATATATATATATATATATATATATATATATATATATATATGTTTTGTTTCTAAAATTATACATGTTGAGGTTATTGACAATGGTGCAAATGATGCTGATTTCGATGATAAGTATGGTCCAGTTTTTAAACCTATTGTAAGTTTCAAATCATATGTAATTTTCAAATTTCAAATCATATATGATATGTTTTATAATTATTATACTTATATTTTTCTGAGTTCAAATCATATATGATTTTCAGAAAAAGATTTTTTTGAAGTATCTAAAAGAGATCACGCATGTTAAAGCAAATGAAATGACTGATAAAAATCGTACACTAGTAAGATTGATAACACCATCGAGGACAGTTTACAACAAAGTGGATTGTGTTGTTTTTGCTATGACGCATATGGAGAGTTATTTTGGAGAAAAAGGTTCTGAATGGAAATATAGTCTTCCAAAAGAAGGTCCTTCTCAAGAAAAAAATTAAGGAGAAGTTGAGAATGAAATATGCAGCAACAATTTTAACTTTTGAGATTAATACGAAGCGTGATGATGTGTTGAAAGCTACGTATGAGTATCAAAAAGTTGATCCAAAGATTATTGGTAAGCATTCATATAATGCTCAATGGAATATAGAAACAAGGCTATCAAGTTTTTTTTTTATTAAAGATTTTCTGATTTTAGAAGTTAATGGATGATGGGTGATTAGATGCTTTTTTTTTAATATTGATGTTTTAAGAACAAGTTTTTTTTTATGTTGGTATATGTTGTGTTTATGGTTATGGATATTCTGAAGAATGTTTGTTTTTATGGTGATGGATATTATAAACAAGTTTATATGTATTTTGATAGATTTTATTATGTAAGTTTGTTTCTATGAATTATGTTATGGAATGTTAATCATAAGTGATTATGTTATATTTTTATATGTAATTATGTTTTTAGTACCCATTGTATGTTGTTTATATGTAATCATTAGTGATTGTGTATATATATGTTGAACGATAGATAGCATATATTGAATATTAATTAATTTTTTCTTTCTGTTTTTGTAATCATAAATGATTACATATGTTGAACACCACATAATAATTTTTTATATTTTTTTCTTAATAAATGAGCACAACTTTATCTTATCTCGACTGCATTGAATACATCACCATGCAAAATCTTATATTTTTTAGATTTTTTTTTTGTTTTCTAGTGTTTGTAGTGAGGAATCTTGGCTTTATAAATCAAAACAATTAAAATCAGTTTTTTCATTAAACTGTGAATCTGTTTTTATCAAGGGGGTAGCCTCGTGCTACCCCTTAGATTTTGTCAAAGATGAGTAGTGAAGTTGTAAAACATATGAATCAAACATTGAAGTCTAATTTTATGATGTTGATTGTTCTCTCACTTTTGAAGAAAATTGTTCTTATACTTCTTCAATGATTAGTTTTGTTTATTAATTTCTTCAATTTTTAATTTAATTTTTTTTATATATCACCATTACTTATTTATGATATAAACAACTTCCATTTCATTTTAGGTAAAATATTGAAAGACCCTAACTTTCATATTTCTGAAAGACCTAAACTTTCATACTTGACAATATAGTTACTCCAAAACATGCTACTTGCATATTCATAAAAACAATATTTTACATTGATAAAGAGGTTACAAACTACTGGATACAAACCGACTATTACAAAGTGTTATATATTACATCACTACCCAGGATATTGTAATTTATACAAACATAAACTGAAGTACAAAAGTACTATTACAAACTATTCTAAATCTTCCAACAGTATACGATCATACTGATTACTTATCTCCTGCAATTGTTAAACATTGATAGGGTAAGCGGTGACGCTTAGTGAGTTCAATAATAGATACAATATAACGTTATGCCATATATATACTTCAATATGGCAGAAACAAAGAGAAACAAGGAACAACAAAGGCATATGTGAATCATGTGTTAAACTTTCCATATCAATCAATGACTTGATTCAAAGATATACAATCAATGAGACATAAGAATTTCCATACTTGATATACATCAATAAAGCTTCGGCCCAAATGGCACAGAAGACATAAGATTTCTGATTAACATCTTGGTAGATTTTAGGCTTATAGCCCTGTCTAACCATTTGCCAATGCCATAGAATAGAAGTCATTCTCTTACGGAGACATGCTCTACATGGCCAGAGGCTACGTACCAGTACCAATGTGAATCTAAGTCCTTTCACTGATCACATGGTCAAATGTATTACTTTTGCTATTAAAATAGCGAATAAAATAACACGGGAAAATAACCCGGAATAATAACACTGAAAAGCACATATCACATATAACACATAACATACAATTGTTCCTATATATTGAACTCACCTTGAATTAACCGGGGGTCAAAATAGTAATTTGGGCAGCACTTTGGCTTTAAATATGAATTTCTATGTTTAAAACCAGGAGCTTTATTGAAAACCAGGCTCTTCGAAGGTAGAGCTTCAAAACCAAAAAGATAAATTTTTTGGGCTTCGGGGAAAGTGGAGATACTAAAAATATGGAAAAAGGGGCCAAAAATGGCAATTTCTTAAAAATACTCGGGCTGGTTCGCAGCCTCCCTATTTATAGGGTGAGAGGGTTCGGATCCGAGGGCTGAGAAGACTCCACGTAGCAGCTGCGAGGCTCGGATCGGAGGGGTGACGTGGCTCGCATGCGAGGGGGACATGCGAAGGGCAGGTGGCGCAGCAGTGAAGCTCGGATGCGACACGCGTCGCACCTCGGACGCAGCACGTCTCGGTGACGTAGCTGCTTCGTGCGAGGTGACGTGGCCGGTACTATTCATGCGAAATTTCTCGGAAAATGTGCCCCAAACTTCTAAAATCCATAACTTTCGCATAAGGACTCCGTTTTTGACGTTCTTTATATGCACGCGTAGGCAGGAATATATTCTACAACTTTCGTTTAGATTTCATCCGCTAATTTTGATTTTATTTTTATCATTATTATTTTTAACAGACCGGGACAGGAATATCCGTTAAAAATTCATAACTTCTTCATCCGACATCCGTTTTCGTCAGAATTTTTACCGTTGTACTACTACTGACGAGACCTTCGATTCTCGTTTAGGTTGTGTCGGCTAAAAACCACTCGATCTAAAATTTGAGTTTTTAGCTGTCTACGCTAATCCGAAACTTAGAAAAATCATAACTTTCTCATACGAAGTCAGATTTTGGCGTTCTTTTTACCGAACTTCTCGGTTTAATGAATACTACGAATTTCATTTAGATCACTAAGGCTAAAAAGTAGTTTATCAAAAACTCACGTTTTACGTCAATCGGCGTCGTGCCGGTTTTGTTGCGGATCTTCGATTGGTCATAACTTCTTCGTTATAACTCGGATTTCGACGCGGTTTTCGCCTACATATTTATAACGAGATTATCTACAACTTTAAATAATAAAATTTTACTTATTTCAAATTTTATATTTTCGCTAAATTTTACTATATGGCATTTGATTGGCATCTCATAAAACTTCCAATACTTTCCGAATGATTCTAAGCATAGTTTTACTTTATTTATAGTAAAAATCATCTGTTAGAACTCAACATTCAAATTTACATAATATTTCGTAATATCATTCATTACAAAACACGATTTCAAAACGTGTATGTTACAAATACCTCCTCCTTTTGAGGATTTCGTCCCCGAAATTACATCGATTGAAATAAATGGGGATATTTCGCTCTTTTCTCATTCTTACATCGATTAGTTGTTCTTTCATTCACGATCTCTTCAGGCTCTTTGACATATCTTAACTTATTATCCAATTTCACCTCGGATAATGGAACTGTCTCATCATAGATGCTCAAGCATTTGCGCAGATAGCTCACATGAAACACATCATGAATACCTGCCAAATCTTCAGGCAATTCTAAGCAGTATGCTTGCTTTCCAATTCTTTGGATGATTTTGAAAGGTCCAACAAATCTGGGACTCAACTTTCCTTTCTTCTCAAATCTCATAAGGCCTTTCCATGGGGATACCTTTAGCATTACAAAATTACCCACTTTAAATTCTATGGGTCGCCTCCTATTTTTTGTATAGGACTTCTGTCGATCCTGGGCCGTTTTCATTCTTTCTCAAACGATTTGAATCTTGTCAGTAGTGTCTTGAATCATTTCAGGACCTCTAAGGATCTTTTGTCCTACATCACACCAACATAATGGCGTACGACATTTTCCACCATATAATGCTTCATATGGTGGCATTTTGATTGAAGCGTGGTAACTGTTATTATAGAAAATTCGATAAGAGGCAAGTATTTGTCCCAGTTACCACCGAAATCCAAGACACATGCACGAAGCATATCTTCTACTGTTTGGATTGTTCTCTCCGTCTGACCGTCCATCTGGGGATGATAAGTTGTACCGAGGGCAACTCAAGATCCCAATTCATTTTGCATACTCGCCCAAAAGTGAGAAGCGAAGTGAGTATCACGATCGGA